CCTTATTGTCACAGGAGCTAACACAAGTATTTCCACATCAGGTACAAATACCTGTTGAAGACAAAAGCCCACAACACAATGGCAATCAGACACAGGACAACTGTGGTTGATGGATTGTCATTAAAGGATGAATACCCCTTTCTGGAGTCTGCTCAATAGACACCTGGTTCATGGAACAATTTCTCCTTGGAGTCCCAGTGGGCAGCTGTTCTGCTAACCTTCCAATCACTACCTGTATGTTTTGGCAATGGAAATACCGAGGGCACATCCCTTACTGTCTTCCCACACCATTTTTGCCAGCCTTCCCACCTCTAAGTCTGTCGTCAAAAGGTTTGCAAAATTCAGGTTCCCATTTTATTATCCATCCTGTCAAACCCTCTAAGAATTTTATGCAAATCAATGAGATGACTTCTCACTCTTTGCAAGGAAGATGGGGCAATATTACTTATGTCTCCTCAATGGACAACTATCATATAGAAACATAGAATCCCTACAGTGGAGATGAGGCCATTTGGTCCATTGATCTACATTGACCCTCTGAAGAGCATCCCACCCAGACCCACCCTATCCCCATAGGCCCACATTTACCATGGTTAATTCACCCAGCCTGCACATCTTTGGACAGTGGGAGGAAACTGGAGCACTGGCAGAATCCCACGCAGTCACAGAGAGAACATGTAAACTCTACACAGACAGTGGAGGTTGGAACCAAACCTAAGTTCCTGGTGCTGTGAGGCAGCAGTACTAACCACTGAGCCACTGTGGCATTTTATCCCCAGTGTCAATCCAGTGAGCATTTATTGTACCCTGTCTAAACCAAATATATCCTTCAGATTCTATAGAACAGTACAAAGAGACGTTGGAGTGCAGGTGCATAGTCCCTTGAAAGTAAATTTGCAGGTAGACAGGATCGTGAAGAAGGCATTTGGTACATTTTCCTTTATTGGTCAGAACATTGAGTATAGAAGTTTGGAGGTCGTGTTGCACCTAGACATTGGTTAGGCCACTTTTGGAATACTGTATTCAATTTTGGTCTCCCTGTTATAGGAAGGATGTTGTGAAACTTGGAAGAGTTCAGAAAAGATTTACAGGTTTTTTCCAGGGTTGGAGGATTTGAGCTATAGGGAAAGGCTGAAGAGGCTGGGGCTATTTTCCCTGAAGCGTTGGAGACTAAGGGATGACGTTATAGAGGTTTATAAAATCATGAGGGGCATGGATAAGGTGAATAGCCAAGATCTTTTCCCCAGGATAGCAGAGTCCAAAACTACATGGCATAGGTGAGAGGGGAAAGGTTTAAAAGGGACGTAAGAGGGTGTGCATGTATGGAATGAACTGCCAGAGGAATTGATGAAGGCTGGTACAATTACAGCATTTAAAAGGCATCTGGATGGGTACATCAATAGGGAAGGTTTAGAGGAATATGGGCCAAATGCTGACAAATGGGACAAGATTAACTTGGGATATCTGGTCAGCATAGACAAGTTGGACCAGAGGACCTGTTTCCATGCTGTACAGCTCTATGACTCTGTGACGTTATGTAATCTGGTATTTCATTGTAGATCTGAGGATTCACCCATTATCAAAGGTGCAAATTGTAAATGAGATGATAAACAGGAGGCCCCTTCTGTCCACTCAGAAGAGTCAGAGAGGTGTCCTGACCATTGTGTATCTCTCAATGAGCAGCAGGCTGTCTATTCACAGACCTTACTGTTGTTTGTCAGCTATTCCTGGTGCTAATTGGCTGTAGCTTCTTGTATTCCAACAGAGGCGCCCTTTCAAATATCTAATCTGCTTCAAAATGCTTTATGACATCCTGAGATTATGAAAGGAACTATATAAACGCAAATCCTTTAATTTTTTTCTAAAATTTACGATATTTCTCTTAAATTCTAGGCAACTATTTTAAAAGTTGCCCTAATAAATACATTTACAGATGAGCAATTTACCATTAGCAATAATAGAAAGGCCATTCCACAGAAAACTAATTCTGATTAAGATTAATTCATATTGCCAGAAAATACAGTTGCATTTAATACTGGATGGGGTGGGTGCTGGGTGGGTGTGAGCATTGGTGTGGAAAGACTGATACAGAAACCATATACTTAGGGGTTACAATTGTGGAGATTTGGGCTTTGCTACTATTCCTTTACATGAATAAGTTTGAATCAGTAGGATGTTTGGCCATATTACCAACTTCAATGAGCCATTAGGAGTAAAAATCGGGTTTTCTCTGGAGCGGCGGAAGCTGAGGAGAGACTTGAAAGAAGTCTATAAAATTGGGAGATGCATAGATAGGGTTGACGGTCAGAATCTTTTTCCCAGAGTTGAAATGTCTTATACCAGGAGGCATGCATTTAAGGTGAGAGGGGGAAAACTCAAAGGAGATGTGAGGGGCAATCTCTTTACACAAAGGGTAGTGGGAGTCTGGAACACATTGCTGGGTTGGTGCAGGCAGATACAATGGAGGGGGCTGGTTTACTTGACTTTTAGATAAATGCATGAATATGCTAGATATGGAGAGATTTGGACCAAGGCAGGCAGAAGGGTTTAGTTTAATTTGGTGATAACATAGTGTCGAGCTGGAGGAACACAGCAGGCCAGGCAGTGTCAGAGTAGCAGGAAAGTTGACATTTCAGGTCGGGACATTTCTTCAGAAGACTTTTCTGAAGAAGGGTCCCGACCCGAAATGTCAACTTCCTCCAGCTCCATATTGTGTTATCTCTGACTCCAGCATCGGCAGTTCTTACTATCTCTTAGTTTAATTTGGCATCTTTTTTGGCACAACATTGTTCCTGTGCTGTACTATTCTACGTTCTATGTTCTTTGTTTTAACCTGAAAGTAAATGGACCATTATATAGCATTTATAAAGTCAAAAAAAGTGTAAAGGTTGGCAATTTGGTGTAAAAACAAACACAATGGAAATACTGTCAGCGTGTTTACAGATCATTTAAGGTTTCAGTTATGCATCCTCTGCAGGACTGGAAGCTATCACAAATGATTAGCATATAGAATGACAAGAAAAAGGAGAGGGGATAGGAAAATATATACACATACAGGGAATGCATACTTTGCTATACAAGTCTTCAATTTCTTTTGTTACACCCTTATTGTTCCAGGTTACTATCATTTCGCACTTTACAGTTCCATTCCTGACATTCCATGAAGGTTGTTCCAATTGTTTATAAATGCTGTTCATTTGTCCAGAACTGATTTTTTAACTTATCTTTTCTCTCCATTGTTAATAGTTAACCTGAAGACTGTTTTGAGCATTTTTAATGGGCCTCTAAATGATTTCTGCTCATATGACAGTTTTATGCAAAATGCTTCTGTTAAAGTTTTAAATGTTTTCCAAATCTAGTATGTCTTAGGATCGTACAAAAAGAAACTTTGATCATGTTTTTGATAGCCGCTCAATTATAGTAGTATCAGGAATACAGTTTAAAAAGACAGTATGAAACCAAAACAGAATTTGTTGGAAAAGCTCAGCAGATCTGGCAGCATCTGTGATTAGAAACAAGAGTTAACGTTTCAGGTCCAGTGAACCTTCCTCAGACCCTCCTTCTGAGGAAGGGTCACAAAACCCAAAACGTTAACTCTGATTTCTCATCACAGATGCTGCCAGACCTGCTGAGCTTTTCCAGCATCTTCTGTTTTATTTTGTTTCTGATTTACAGCATCCTAAGTTCTTTTGGTTTTTAAAAATGAAATATGTCCCCTTTAAGATTAGGAGATTTTTTTCTCTCTCTCAGAGGAGTTTTAAACTTTAATATTCTCCTTTTCAAAGGACAGTGGAGACTGGGTCGGTGAATATAGTCAATAAGGTGCATTTTTTTTCAATTAACTTGTGAAACTTGAAAGGGTTCAGAAAAGATTTACAAGGATGCTACCAGGCTTGGAGAGTCTGAGCTGAACAGAAAAGCTGAATAGGGTGGGGCTATTTTCCATGGCGCATCAGAGGTTGAGGAGTGACCTCAGAGAGGTTTATAAAATCATGGATTGGGTGAATAGCCAAGGTGTTTTCCCCAGGGTAGCAGAGTCCAAAACTACAGGGCATAGGTTTAAGGTGAGAGGGTAAAGATTTAAAAGGGACCTAAGGGGCAATGTTTTTCACGCAGAGAGTGGTGCATGTAAGGAATGAGCTGCTAGAGGACATGGCGGAGGCTGATATAATTACAATATTTAAAAGCTATCTGGATGGGTCCATGAATAGAAAGGGTTTAGAGGGATGTGGGCCAAATGCTGGAAAATGGGACTAGATTGATTTAGGATATCTGGTCGGCATGGATGAGTTGGACCGAAGGGTCTGTTTCCATACTGTAAAGCTCTATGACTATATAACAAGGGTGATGGGCAGAAAAGTGAAGTTAAGACAACAGTCATTTCAGCCATGACCTTATTGAACTGTTCGGCAGATTCAAGGGGCTGAATGGCCTACTCCTAATTGTATTTCCTATGATTAAGTTCAGTTCAAAAATGCAACCTGTTACAGCAAGAGAAAGTAACATTATTATTCATGCAAATATAACTCTACATCATTAAAATGAAACCTGCTTACTAAATTGGAACATCTAAATGTTTGAAAAATATTTTAGTCAGCAGTTACTAAATATGATCAGAAAAAGAAGAAATCGCCACAGGTGGCAATGGGTTAAAAGAAGATTTATATTCACATTAAGACTGAATCCCAAGTTTTCACCTTAATTGATAAATATCTATGTCAATAGAAAAGGTTTCTCTTGTTAGCTCACACTTTTTTTTTCAATTCTATATGTGACACAGTGTTTCAAAACAATATAGCACAAGTGTTCATGGGTTTTGCAGTTATTTGTTCTACAATTTTAGAAAAATTAACATTCAGCTAACAGGATGTGGTTTAACTTTGCAGATTGTGTGTAGGCACAGTATCTTTCATCCACAATGTACGCCCTGCAAGATTTTCTGCAACAATTATTGCGTTATACACATGTGACCACTGGTAGGTTCCTTTATTTGGTAAACCGTTCTTAAAACCGTTGCGTCCTAATGGCAGTTTGAACAGACAAAAGTAAGCTGAGGACTAGGTAAGAACACACTCATATAATCCAACTTTTAACTAGCAGTAATTAGCTTATTTCATTTAACAGATGTTGTAGATGACATTAGATCTGACCATCATTGTGGAATGCGTATTTTATTTCTTCTCTGATTTGCTGACCTATTCAGTTGCACATGTTGCTCAATGCCTTGTAATACGGATATAAAGCCAAGTGTGTTTCTTTTCTTCAAAGTTGGTGTGGACAATACATATTTGTGGAGAAAAGATATTTTACATGTAGTCACAGTTTAAACCTTATTTGATGACGTTATCATGCGTTTCAATATTCTGTGCGAGGCTTGACTTGCAGGAGGTGATCTGTATTGCTGCATTTAAGGAGTGCTAAATCCAAAAACAGAAGCAGACTTTCTTAAACAAATGAATTTAAATTGAATTGTCATTTCAATATATGGTTCACGTTTAGATGTGTATATGGTTGACCACTGGAGGAATTTCTATTTTTAAACTAAATACACGTTACTTTCACGCTGTATCTTCACTCTTGACATTACTTGCAAACCTAAAATGCCCTGCTCTGCAGATTATATTCAGTTTGCTTCCCTCTCATCTTATTGTAGGGACGCAAACACGGCCCAAATGTGCATAGGCCCAGAAGTGCATCCATTTTAGGCATACCACCTTTCTCTTGCGTGTCCTTGATTAACTTCCCTCTACTATCTGCCTGCCTTCACAGATAAGAACTAGTTTCATCCAGCTCTTTTGACACACACTGCTGACTGCGATAAGATGTTTTTATTTCTGTAAGTAAATCAAAGATGGCTTTATGCTTAGATCTCAGAATTGTTAAAGCACAGAAGGTGACTTTTGAGCCTGACACGTCTGCACCAGCTCACCAAATGAACAATGCAACTTGTGCCATTTCCCAACCTTTTCCCTGTAATCCTGATTTTTTTCAATAAATAATCAAATTTCCTCTTGACAGTCTGAATTAAAACTACCTCCATCACACTCTTAGACATCGAAGATCTCAACCACTGCCAGATTGAGAAAGATTTTCTTCATGTGCACATTTCTTTTTTTTTTCTCGTCAATTATTTTAAATCTGCGTTCTCAATCTTTCATCAGTAGAAAAATATTTTCCTTATCTACTCTCTCCAGATCCTTCATGATTTTGATTACCTCTATCATGTCTCCTTTCAATCCTGTCTTATCCAAGGAAAACAGTCCCAACTTCTCCAATGTATCTATATAAGTGAACTTCCTCAGAATCTTTTCTGCTCTCTCTCATGTCAGCATGTGTTTCTTAAAGTGTGGCACCCAGAATTGAACACATCACTCCAGTTGATGCTGAACCCGTGTTTCGTCTAAGTTTAACATATCCTTCTTGGTTTTGTACTCCATGTCCCCATTTCAGCACAGGATACTGTAATCCTTAAGCACACACACAAACTGTCCTGCTACATATAAAGACACATGCAAATTTGCACCCACAGCCCTGCACTCCCTTTCAAATTGCACTTTTTATTCTAAATTGTCTATCTGGCTCTTCCTACCAAAATGAATTATTTTACGCTACTCAGTATTGAAGTTCATCTGCCACTTGTCCATCCATTCCACCAACTTGTCTATGTATTTTTAAAGTTCTACACTATCCTTACAGTTTACAACGTTTTCAAACTTATTTCTCATCTGCAAATTTTGTACTCCAAGATTTAAATCAGTAATATATTAGAAAGAGCATCCTAACAACACCATCTGTTGGGGAACTCACCACAAACCTTCTCCTAGTTTGAAAATTTCCAATAACACTGCTCCCTCTTTCCTATCAGTCAATTATTGTATCAATGTTGTTATTGTTCTATAACTTAAGCTATAACTTTGCTCACAAGTCTGTAGTGCTGCATTGTATCATATGCTACCTATATGACATCAACAGTATTGCTCTCATCAGCCCCTCTGTAACCTCTTCAAATAAAAAAAACTGCAGCAAGTTTATTAAACAAGATTTTTATTTAATTCTGTGTTGGTTTTCCTTAATGAGGAAACATTTGTCCATTTGACTACTAATTTTGTCCTGAATTACTGCTTCTAGGAACTTCCCCACCACAAAAACTAACTTGACTAGCCTGCAGTTGCTGAGCTTATTTTGCACATTTCTTCAAACAAGGATGTAATGTTTGCAATTTTCCAGTTCTCTGAGGACCAAATCATCCCCCATGTCTAAGGAAGACATGAAAATTGTAATCAGTGTCATTGCAATTTCTTCCCTTAGTACGTTTATTTGCTGTTCCTGACAGCTTATAAAGTTTATGTACAAACATCTAAACTGCCTCTTTATCATTTCTAAATGCTGAAAATGTCTGAACTGCCTCATTTTATGCCAAGACCTGGGCAGTATCTCTCCCTTGTTGAAGACAGCTGCAAAGAGTACATTAAATATCTCAGCTATGCCCCCTACTCAGAGTTGAGCCAGTGTTAAGCTAAGGTTTTCTGCTTTTGGAAGCTCTGGGTGGTATTTAAGGAAGGTCTCATCTATTACCCAGACAGTCATTGAGAGTCCTATGTCACCTGCTTTAGGGAAGGCCAATTTCATCGCACAATATTCAGGCACTTGACGGGCTTCCCTCAGATCAAGGGTCAAGGATGAAAATCTTAATCATGAGGAGCTGTCAGCCAATCACAGGCTAGGAGATATACTGAACAACAGCATCATGGGGATGGTAATGGCTGCTGCCTTTACAACACTCATCCTAGTATTATCACTGGATGCCAGGACACTGGTGAGTGATGACTCGTAAGATGCCCTGGGGAAGAGATACAGAGTTGGTAGCACGGGCAGGGATGGATGGCTCTAAGCGCACCTTTGCACCTTCACATGTCTTGAACCAGTGAGCAAGTATTGGATGCCTTTAAATAAAGAACACCACCCACTAACCATTGACTCCATCACTCCCTAAGTAAACATATATGCAATTATTTGTCATTCCCACGACATGGTGAGCCCCAGCAATGAAAGGATGAGGACTTAAATCTTAAGTGGGCAACAATTGATCCATTAAAGGCCTCATTTGTTGGTGGGGCATTATATGTGGGTGTCACCGCTTGGGCCTCCATATATTGCTCATCCCTAGTTGCTCTTGAGAAGGGGGTGGAGAGCTGCCTTCTTAAACCACCAAAAGTCCATTTGGTGTAGGTAGGTACAATGCTGTTAGATTTGATTTGATTTATTACCATCACGTGCGAGATTCAATGAAAAATATTGTTTTGTCTTTGTTTTGTCTGCTATCCAGACAAATCCTACCTTACATAAGTACATCAGGATAATAGAACAGAATACAGAATATAGTGTTATAACTACAGAGAAGGTGCAGAAAAAGAACAACTCTAATAAATGACAGGTCCATTCATAAGTCTGATAACAGTGGAGAAGAAGCTGTTTTTGAATCTGTTGGTACATGGTTTCAAACTTTTGTATCTTCTGCCTGATGGAAGAGGGTGGACGAGAGTACAACTGGGGTGGTAGGGACCTTTTATTATGTTGGTTGCTTTCCTGAGGCAGCAGGAAGTATAGACGGAGTCAATGGAAGAAAGACTGGTTTGTGTGATAGACTGGGCTGTGTTCATAATCCTCTTTAATTTCTTGTGGTCTTGGGCAGAGCAGTTGCCATATCTAGCTGTAATGCATCCAGATAGGATGCTTTCTTTAGTGCATCTGTAAGAATTGGTAAGAGTTTGCATGGAAAAGCTGAATTTCCTCAGGCTTCTGAGGAAGTAAAAGTTTTGGTGTGCTTTCTTGAATGTAGTGCTGACATGGACCAGGACAGATTGTTGGTAATAATTACTCCAAGGAACTTAAAGCTCTCATCCATCTCCACCTCAGCACCATTGATACAGACAGGGGCATATCCTCCACTCTGCGTTCTGAAGTCAGTGACCAGCTCCTTCATTTTGTTAACATCAAGGGAGAGATTATTGTCTTTACACCATGCCAGTAAGGTGTCTATCTCTTTCCTATACTCTGTTTTGTCATTGTTTAAGATCCGACCCACTAAAGTGATGTCATCCGCAAACTTGTAAATGGAGTTAGAGCAGTGTTAGGAGGATGTTCCAGAATTTTGACTCAGCAACACTAAAGGAAAAGTGATATATTTCCAACTCAGGATGGTGAGTGGCTTGATGAAAAACATGCAGAAGGAGGTGTTCTCAAGTACATGCTGCCCTTGTCCTACTCGATAGTTGTGGGCATGGATTTGAAAGGAGACTTGGTGAATTTCTGCAGTGCATCTTGTCGCTGATGCACTCTGCTGCAATTGTTATTAGTGAAGGGAGTGAATGTTTGAGGATGTGGTGCCAATCAAGTGGGCTGCTTAGCCCCGAATGATGTAAAGTTTTTTGAGTCAGTCTATCTTTGGTGGTAGGGAAACTATAGGAAGCAGTTCTCAAGCACCGAATTAACCTGCGCTTGGAAAAGTGGGGATTAATCAAGAACTGTCTTATCAGGTTATGTTAAGGGTGGCTAGTCATGTCTGACCAACTCAGCAGAATTTTTCAGAGGTGACCAAGTATGTAGATGAGGGAAGTGCTTTTGATGTAGTATGATTGGACTTCAGCAAGGCTTTTGATAAGATTCTGCATAAGTGACTGATAGCAAAGATTAGAGGCTATGGGGTCCAAGGTATTTTGACAAATTAGATCCACAATTAGCTGAGTGGCAAGAAGCAGAGGGTGATGGTCGAGAGATGTTTTTTTCCTGACTGGAAGTTTGTTTCCAGTGAGACCTTATAGGGGTCAGAGTTGGGACCCTTGCTGTTTGTGGTTATATAAATGATCTAGATTTGAATTTACAAGATGATATAACAATTGCTGGTGTGGTAAATAGTGAGAAAGAGATCCTTAGGTTACAGAAGGATGTAGATAGGCTAGTCAGATGGGCTGAATAGTGAAAAATGGAATTAAATCCAGATAAATATAAGGTGGTGCACTGGATGGGACAAACGAGGCAAGGGAATGATGTTGAATAGTAGG